CGACTGTAAATTCCACTTTTCCTACAGGCAAACTTTTACCAGTGTTCTCTACATCACCGGTTATGCGAATGCAAGTGAAGGACAAACTTCCGAAACTGACTTCATTCATGATAATTTATTCTTTTAATTGCATCTGTGGCGCAGATTGCATAGGTCATACGATAAGAGGTTTATTTCAAAGCGTTAAGGAGCACCATCAGTGATGGGTGAGTCAGGGGAAAACCGACTGCGATCGTGGGCCATCTCATCGACAACGAGCACAAGATCGAACCAGAGAAAGCTATCGACCTTGTTTATTGCATTCCACTCAATAGAAGGCGGCCCGTGCTTGGATACTAGCCATGGCTGAGGCGATTACCATTCGCTTACTAGACCCCAACATGTGTGCTCAAAAATGAGTTGTTCAGGCGCTTCAGTTGCCTTGGTCTGGTGTGTGGGAAACGGTCACATCAACTGACACCCCTAAACATTCGTACACAAACATACACACATCCCTTTTTTTCTTTTTCCTTCCTTTAATTGAATACTCAATAATGCGAATTTCAGGAAGGGGAAAGCGACCAAGCAAGGGACTGCCAAACTTCAATTTGAGCCAATGGCTATTGTTATTTAGGTGTTTTTTCGCTATATGCTATGTAGCAGCATGATTAACAATATCCAAAAACAGCTGTTTGCTCACCGACTCGTTTTTTCCATTGGGGTATTGAAACTTTTGAGATCGTCCAAGGAACCCTGTGTGGTTAAGGAACTGAATGGGTTCATGAAATTTTCCATTCGCCTTGCGGAAGTCAGTACTCATGATAGTAATAATCCGAATTTATGCTTCTTGATCGGCTGTACTTAACCTCACCAAAGAGTGTATAGGATAAGTTTATTAAATTGTTGTATATGCATGCAGATTTCAGGTGATGTGCTTCCAGTGATTATTTTTTCTTTTCTGCTGGTTTTTAACATTCCATAATAGTTTCTCAGTATTTGTTCATAGACTTCTAATCTTAATTCGCCGATTTTAGCCTTATTATCAAGTTTTTCGTGTATCAGTACGAAGTTGCACCCCAATAACTGGGTTTCTTTTATATGATTAAAAAGAGTGCAAAATGGTCAAATGACCTTTGGTGCGAAAAAAATTCAGAAAAAGCATGTTGATCAATGCTGCAAAGACTTCGGAGCAGAATAGGCTTCCGTTGAAAACTGAGTCAATACGGCTATGTGTGTCCACACATTTGCACAAATCCGGAATAAGAGGAAAACAAAAGAAGGGAAAAATCTATGCAAACGATTTATGTTATAAAAAAAATTATAGATATCTACTATAAACTGATTGATGTTCGAAACGAGTAATAGTAAAACTGAAATCTTGAATCGGGCCTTTGATAAATCACTGTTTTTGGGTCTCAGGGGTACTGATGCCCCGGTGATGTTTTGTGACATTACGCAATCACGACCTAACAGTGATTTAACCTTAAGAAGAAGAAGCTCGAATTGGAGCTCTATTGATGCTGTTACGTGGGATCATGTATTAGAGATATCATCCACGATGGATGTGCGTTGATTTCCACGACATCATCCAAACTTTTTCCTTAAAGAAAATTTGTTCAAACATCCGAGCCAACAAGACTAACATTTTAACAGAGAATTCAATTCGGTATTTATCACCGTTGGGCCGGTTTTTCAACCCAATGGAAGAAGGTATCGCCAAGTTCCAGATGTTATTCAAGAACTGCTTTGAGGACTGTCATGTGGAGCTGTTGTCCATGCCCGAAGAGAACATGATAAGAGTTACCGACCGCGTTCTGGATCATGCTCTTGCTACATGGTATTTCGAAGTATCTCCACACGTGGCTTTATATCTGTATTTGTATATTTATCATAGGCTTNAAGCATGATGCCAACGCAACACCAGAAATCAGACGGCACCTATGGGGCTCCGCAACAGCTAACTGAAATCCCAGTAATGGACGGTACCTCTCATCAGCAATCACGGACGCGCGCGTTTACAGCAGTAAGCAATGTGGTGAAATCAAGGTGCCATACATGTCAAGAGAGGGACGACTCGAGGTTAGTGTTGGTCATGGGTTCCCTTTTGTCTCTTTCCACTCACTTTTGTGTTTCTCCCATTTTAGCCCTGGAGGAAGAAAGGGGCGAATAGCGACCATTATTATTATTATTGATACACCTTAATGTTCAACGGATACTTCTAAAAATGTATTTAGATGATGAATGTCTGCTTTAGTCTATTCGGTTTTCTCACAGGCACCAAGCACTGTTGATGATGTTGCTTGTGGGTTTCACTCCTTGGGAGAACGTCAATTCTCCACGGTTTATATGCATTTAGATGCGATGGGAATGTTTGCGATAACCAACAAAGAGAACTGGAGAGCCTGGTTCCTCTGAAAAAATCGAATGGACTAATCCAAGCTTGATACTCTAAAGCACTGGATAGTTGTTTTGTCCTGTTTGGGACTC